AGTCTTCTCCCGCCAGTCCAACTTGTTTGGTTGCGTCTCAGATACTGATGCGTCAGCAGTCCATTAACATGTGTAATGTTCAATATTCCACACCATAATTGCAATTAGGGTGCTTTCAGATTGATTTTTTTGTCATTTAATATCAAATTCTCAAACTAAATTAAAAATATCTTTAGATTTTCTTTACTATCTAAATAAAATCGACTGTCAATTTAACTCGAGCCAAACTAGAAATATCGATTTTTGCAGAACGCTTAATTGTGTTTTGCAATTTATGTGGTTGAAGTTTGTGATGTCGACTTCTAACTGCATTTATAATACAATACAAAATTAACGTAACTGTCAAATTTTGACATTTAAATAGGAAAATATTCTCTAATTTAATTCTATTTTTTATGTTAAAAGTTTAAAATTATTCTATACTTGGTGCTAGACTATATTAAATTTTGATATTTGAGTTGCTGTTAGTTAATGTATTAACTTTCTAATTTAACCATTATGAATTTGACATATCAAATTACTTTAAATTAAAAGTTTACTGTTAAGTTCCAAAATTTAATGATAACGATAAAAATTAGATATAACATTTGATGTAGTACTCAAGCATAAAATATAATAGAAAAAAAGAGAAAAATATACTTTAGAGTATATGATCTGGATTTTTATCCCTTATTTTTAATTAATATTCTTTTTTTGTCAAATAAATATATTAGTTAAAAGGGTAGTAATAAAAAAATAAAAGATAAAATTTCAGACTCATGTAATCTAAAATTATTGGAAACATACCAATTAAAAACAAGTTCATACGTATATTATCACCACATCTATTTACATATATTTCCTTAATTAAAAAGGGAATTTTGCGATTTATCAAGAGCAGCGGTTGGTGTTTACATGACTTTATTGATTTAAAAAATTAGTTACATCTGTTCTTTAGAACAATAAATTTCTCAGCAAAAAATATTAGAGGATAAATTGGATTTCTAATGTTATTTTGGGGAAAAAAATTTATGCAAGCTAACACACGTTATTTATTATATGTGATCGACTTGCAACAGAAAATCTGAAATTTAGGCCTGAGTTCCACATCCACCGGAATATAGATAAGACGTGTGCATGAGAAAATTCAGGTTGTTATCCAAGTGATTTTGGCAATAATTTGTTAAATAACATATAAATTAGTTATACAATTTATATTTTTTTTAGGGGCAAATGAGAATTAGTCATACAATTTATATTTGAGTAGTTCAACATTTATAAATTAATTGTCAAATTATTCGATACACTGTTTCTTTCTTAAGATAAAATTATTCCGCATTTATCAAACAAAATAACAGTGCAAGCATTCCTATAAAATAAAGGCACAAAATTAATACATGTGTATCTACCAAACTCCTTTGCTTGTTTTTTTTTTTGTTTTTTTTTTTGTTTTTTTCCGTTTCTTGTCAAAAAAAGAAAAGAAAATCATTTTATCTTAAATGATGCTATGATCATCAATAACCTCCCACCAGGTATCACTGTAAAGTAAGATAGCATTTCTGTTGGGCACTTTTGCAAATTGTCAATTGGGACCTACTCAAATGGTGTGTTAAAAATGCCATATATGTATCTGAATAAACCAAGCAAAGTGCATAAGTTTCTCTCTCTTCTAAAAGGATAAGAGGATAAAGGTGGATATGCTCAGCACCATTTGAAAATTATGCAAACAATTTTGTAAGAATTCGAGAGTGGGGTAGGATATGCACCTCTTGGCTAGTAACATAGGACCTTTTGTCATGTCAGCTTGAAGGAATGGATAATTGCGTGACATAATCAATGGAAACGACAGCAATTAAGAGATGTTTAGTTTAATATTAATTGGCCGCTCAAGATTATCATTAAGTGCCAACCTTAAAATAGTGCCAGAATAGGAAACTGCTGTGACCACATTGTGCTAAATAAGAAACTGGACTGACGACCCTTTGAGACATTGTCATAATAATTTATTGTTGTATTTCCCATTTTGCCACGTCAGAATGTCATCTTGGCTATGATTTTCTTGATTGATATTCAACATAAATATGATGGGATATGATATGAGCATTATATGCTCCATTATGGCTTGAAGTCATAATAATTTATTGTTGTACTATTTTTTTTGAATTTTATGGACTATTTTAAATATTGTTTGTAAAATAAAGACTACGGAGTAATATATTTTAATATCTATTTTAGTATTTGTACATTTTATTTTATTTTCACGAATTTTTCTTAATTAATTCAGTTTAATTAAATTAAATCTTAATAATTACGGCCTTATCTTTAGAGTCGTGACATTTTGAAATATATGAAGGTGAGAACACTTGGAGATATTTGTTTCTACCATGTTCTAAGATGGTCAGGTACTTCATATTACTTCATATTGGTGGTCAAGTGTAAAGTTCTAGACGAATTTTCTTATGAAAATAGTTGGACCGGAGTTTAATATATCTGTTTGTCTTATTTTTTAACTTCATCATCGTTTCATGTTACCATCATCATCTCCTCCGTATAATTCCAAAATCAGTAGAATAAACTTAGATTCTAAAGGACAAAATTGCATGTTGAATTGTAGAATTGCATTCTCGATACTCTTTCAGAATACTTTGACCAAAATATCATGAAAGATTACATGAGACAGAAAATAAGTTAAGAAAAATGAAACTTTTACGATGGAAACCCTAACTATTTTATCCTCCCATGGCAATCAATACTTTGATTGCTGAATTAGCTTTTTAAGAGTGTGTGAGTAAGGAAGGTTTTGTATCACGCATTATAAATTAATCTAACAGTTAAAATTACAGAGTTAAAAAAAAAGTACATTAAGATTTAACCATATATGAATGTTGTATGTATTAGCACTAATTACATTAACATAATTTAATTAATTAATCAGTCCTGGCCCAGTTCCTCCTAGGTTGGTATTCCACGTCTCAAACCATCTAATTACTTAATTAATTAATCAGTCGTGATTACCTTTACACAACTAATCCATGTGCACAGAGTGAATATAGTACAATCTCTCTCTCTCTCTCTCTTGGGGTGGCGTATTGCTAACCACCATATATAATTGTCTCTCTCTCTCTCTCTTGAGAAATAAAAAGATTAGTTTAGATAACAGTGAGAGATGCTATTTTAGCGGCACTTACTGCTAAATTTATCCCTTTAATCCCGGCGATCTGTAACTTCTCTTATAGTTTCAAGAAACCTGAAAAATTGCATTTCTCCATGTTAAGTGGAATATGGCCATTGACAGGAGGACCACATATATGCTTATCCATCCAGTAACCCGAGCAATATTAAGTGGTGAATATGTCCAAATTCTACCGCAAATTAGATAAATTAACCTAAGTAGAAGATGGATAGATATACACTTACACAGAATATATATACATATATATATATGACAAAAAAAAGTATAAAAATAACATTAAATTTCAATCAGAGATTTTGCAGCTATCCAATCATATCCTGACATCTGTTTCTCGCCCAACTCCCAACCATGACCAATCTCTAATAGTCCTCCTCTAAAATACAGAACAAATTGTGGATCCCATTCCTTGTGTCACTGTTAATTTGTTTCCCATTCCTTGGATCACGACTTTTTTGTAACTGCAAATTCATTTGGGGTGAGCCATGGACCAGCACAGTCTCATAAACTTTACACTATTTAAAATAAAATAAAAAAATTTGTAGCAGCCGTTTTTGGAGAGTAATATTATTATTTTTTTCTTTCTTTTTTTGCCTTTTTCGTTGGATTTATGGTGCGTTACATAAACAACAAGGGGCATTAATTGAAAAAATTTTCATTTCTATCCCCTCCTTTTTTTTTTCTTTGGGAACAGAAAATTCATCATCACTTATATTGACCCGCAAGAGAGTTGAGAAAGAATTCATGCATGCAATTATAGAAAACTATACGTGTGGAATACATTTTCTGCACCCCATTTCTGGATTTTCTCAATCCAAAGTATCTCTAGTTAGTCACCGTGTATGGTGTATTTAGGAATTATGCTTTGCTTTGCCTTCTCTTACGGGAAATAACTAACCCACTTGTGGAGTTCACATTCATAACTCCCGGAGAACACGGTAAAGAAAAAAAGAAAGAGGAAAAAAGCTATATTGTCATGCATATGCATATACACAAACATATAGTAAAAGCAAAAAGAATAAATGAAAGGTAAAGTTACATGTTACTTTTGGTTGATAATAACTCTGATGAGGGAAAAATCATATTGCGTTTAAACTCATTAGAACATAGGACGAGTTTGGTATGTATCCCGAAAAGGACAAAGAGAAAGGGTGTGTTTAGAATTCGTTTGTAAATAATTTTGTTTTTTTGTATGAAAATGTAAATGAAATCGTTTTCAATCTCAAACAAAAATTATTTTTAAAAATGCGTTTAATAATTTTATCAAAAAATTATTTTCAGTATAAAAAAACTCATTAATGTCTCTCTCTCTGCTCAAGGAGAGAGAAAATAAAAAACGATTAAAAATTATTTTTCATTTCTCTCTTATTTTACATTAAATTAAAAAATTATTTTTATTTTTATTTTTTATCTTTAATTGTGTTAAAGATTGTTTTAGAATTATTTTTGTTTTTTCTTTCTCAAAAAACGTAAAAAATTAAAACAAAAGCAATTTTAAACAGGGCAAAACTGTTCCCTTTTTTTTATTGTAAATTTGTGAGTAAAAGAAAATAACTCAAAAATAAAAAAGGCCAATGGCCAGATAATATTTATTTATTCTTCTCCTGATGTACAGTGTAAATAGACAAAGTCAAATTTTGACTTCTCATCCCAATATATATTTGTGTTCTAATTTTAATTTTCTTTTTCTTTTACCAGGGGTATGGGAATCTGAGAACTGATGTAAGCAAACAAAATTCCATTATTTTTTTATTTTCTTTATTTATTTGGTATTTTCACCTTTTAACTACATCATTCTTTGGCAACCGCTTCTATAAATAAGGGGCAAAGCCTACTAGACATAGGCTTGAAGAGGCAACTCGCAAAGCATCTCCAAGCTTAGTCTTTTCCCTCTTCCTCTTCTCCTTTCTAGTACAGAGATTCTTCTCTCTCAATCATCTGAACACCGAACACAATCTTTCTCGTACCCAAGTCCCACAAAACACAAGCATGGTCGGACCCAATTCCCTAGACAAAATCAAGCCCATAACCACCATCAAATTCCTCTGTAGCTACGGCGGCAAAATCCTCCCACGTTATCCCGACGGCAAGCTCCGTTACCTCGGTGGCGAAACCCGCGTCCTCGCCGTTGATCGCTCCATTTCTTTTGCCGGTTAGTTAACGTGTTCCGTTTACTGTCTTTTTTTTCGTCGTTTTGCTTTTGTTGTCGCTTTTGTTGTTACTGTCGTTTATGGACATGGTGTTGTTTGCGTGCGCGTGTAATTACAGAGCTGATGTTGAAGCTCTCTGAACTGTGCGGCGCGTCGGTGAGTCTCCGTTGCCAACTTCCGACGGAGGATCTTGACGCCCTGGTTTCGATCACCTGCGAGGAGGATCTGGTGAATCTCATCGAGGAGTACGATCGGACGGCGTCGCCGCCGTCGGCGCTGAAGATCAGAGCCTTTCTCTCCCCTCCGAAATCGATCAAAAAAATCTCTCCTCCTCCTTCCTCGGCCTCCTCGAGCTCCTCTCACGGCACCGCTCCGATCTCGACTCCGAGGTCTCCGGCGCCGGCGTTCTGCGATCATCACCGGTGCCTCCGCCAGATCGCCCCGCAGATGGCGTTCCAAAAATCCGCCGCAGCCGCCGGAAAGGTCCCGTACTACGCTTACCACGCTAATGGAACTCCCGGCCATATCTATCTCATCCACAACGGCAACCACTGGCAATAACAATAGCCAGAATCCATGGACGAAGGAAAAGACCTAAAAACATTCCCTTCAAATTAAAGCCAAAAAAAAAAAAATACTACAAATAGCGAAAACAATTGGGGCAAAAAAGAGAAGAAAAATTGAAAGAGAAGTTATATAAGAAGAAGTAGAAGAATATATATATGTGATGATGACGATGAATGTAAATTTGGGGCTGTACAAATCGTTGAGAAGGATTGCTTTTTGATCCGTGGCGATTAATGAATATCAGTCCAATTTAGTTTTGTGTTTTGGTGAGTGGCTCTGCACTTTTTTCCGTTGCCTAACAGTTAACTTTTCCGTCATCATTTTCCCTTTCCCGTTCCCAATCCCCACCCACTAAGCCCACTTGCTTTCCCCGGCATTACTCCCGTTCCGTTATCCCCCTTTTTCTCTAGCGTAACAGCAGGTGTCGCCTTTCTTCTCTCACGTTGCCTTGATTGCGTGCCACGTCGTGCCTTTTGTTTATTTATTTATTTATTTTTGTTATCACTTGTAGGCGTAAAAATGTTCTATTTTCATCCTTTCCTCATCGTCTCTGCTCTCTGCGATTTTCCCACGTCACTCGTGCACTCTCTCTTTTTCTCTTCTTCTTTCCTCCTTTCTTTCTTTCCTTTTTGTTTTTTTTTTTCAATAATTTGTGACAATATTTTTACTTTTTACTTTTTTTAATTTCGGAGTTTATTTTATTGCTAATTCTTTAAACATTTTGATTTGCAGGTTAAGGATGGCAGTGTGGATGATTCCAGATAAACGTCGCGGATTGAAGGCCCAACAGCCAACAAGTATAGTTTGTTTCCTTAATCCTTTACCCTTTTATTTTATTTTATTTTATTTTTTGACCTTTTTCTCTTTAAGATAGAATTTAGCAAAACAATTTTACTCTTCAATAGGGAATTTCTTGATTTTTTTTTTCTTTTTGGGTAAGAGAAACTATTCCCTTTTGTTCATTTGGGTTTGATTCGTTCATTGGCCTTCCTTTCTTCCTTCATTAAATTATAAAAATTATCTCCTTTGCAACTTGCAAGTTAGACTTATTCGTTTCAACCATTTTCTTCTTTCCCCTATAGGTAGTTAAATATATATATATATATATATATATAATTGAGGAAATACATGAGACATGTAGTTATTTATTTATTCCAGCTGTAAAGAATATGTTAAAATTTAAACTCACGAATATCACATCATAATGATACAACGGCTTAAAAGTTGAAAACGAGATATTTAATCATAAAATGCAATGGTTTTGGTCTTATATTTGATTTTTTGTATTTAATGGTACGATATTTTAATGGTTTTGCTAGCTAATGGGCCATGATTGACCGGCGATGCGTCTATGAGGGTCTGTATCTTCTGATCAGATTTGATCGCTGCGAAAGCGGCGGAGAGAAATGGTGGCTTGATGGTTTCATATCAAGATTCAATGAAAACACATAATTCCAAACCTAATGGCAATAAAATTTTATTGTGGGGACCCTTTTGCTTTGAGAACATGGGATATAACCCATAAGTGTGTCCCGTGACAGCTAATGGTTGCCCCCTCCATGAAAGAACTAAATTTAATTGGAAGAACAGACAAAAAAAAAAAAGTTAATAAACAAAATTTTTAGCAAATATATATATATTTTATTGTGGGGACCCTTTTGCTTTGAGAACATGGGATATAACCCATAAGTGTGTCCCGTGACAGCTAATGGTTGCCCCCTCCATGAAAGAACTAAATTTAATTGGAAGAACAGACAAAAAAAAAAAAGTTAATAAACAAAATTTTTAGC